TACTGATCGGTATCTAATATCTCTGAGTTACAGCAGATTTACTGATCACTATCTAATATCTCTGAGTTACAGCAGATTTACTGATCACTATCTAATATATCTGAGTTACAGCAGATTTACTGATCACTATCTAATATCTCTGAGTTACAGCAGACTTACTGATCACTATCTAATATCTCTGAGTTACAGCAGATTTACTGATCAGTATCTAATATCTCTGTTACAGCAGACTTACTGATCACTATCTAGTATCTCTGAGTTACAGCTGACTTACTGATCAGTATCTAATATCTCTGAGTTACAGCAGGTGTAATGATCACTGTTTAATATGCCAGTTACAGCAGATGTACTGATCATTATCTAATATCCAAGTTACAGCAGGTGTAGTGATCAACATCTCATATCTCAGATACAGCAGATGTATTCATCACTGTCTAATATTTCAGTTACAGCAAGTGTAATGATCACAATCTAATGACCCAGTTACAGCAGGTGTAGTGATCACTGAAAGATATCCCAGTTACAGCATGTGTAGTGATCACTGAAAGATATCCCAGTTACAGCAGGTGTAGTGATCACTGAAAGATATCCCAATTACAGCATGTGTAGTGATCACTGAAAGATATCCCAGTTACAGCAGGTGTAGTGATCACTGAAAGATATCCCAATTACAGCATGTGTAGTGATCACTGTCTAATATTTCAGTTACAGCAGGTATAGTGATCACTGAATGATATCCAGTTACAGCAAGTGTAGTGATCACTGTCTAATATTTCAGTTACAGCAGGTGTAGTGATCACTGAATGATATCCAGTTACAGCAGTTGTAGTGATCACTGAAAGATATCCCAGTTACAGCAGGTGTAGTGATCACTGAAAGATATCCTAGTTACAGCAGGTGTAGTGATCACAGAATGACATCCAGTTACAGCAGGTGTAGTGATCACTGAATGATATCCAGTTACAGCAGGTGTATTAATAATTGATTAATATCTTAGTTACAGCAGGTGTTCTGTTTACTGTCTGATATCCAAGGTACAGCAGGTGTGTGCACTGATCACTAATATTCCACCAGACTTTATATACATACCACATTTCCCTCTGTTCCTGTTTACTAAAGCAGTGGGTCAGGACCACCACTTTGGCAATCAATTATTGTATTTCTCTCCTGTTGTATATTTGCCTCGAAACTTTCATTAAACACCATATGACAGTCATTATTTTCTTACTGGGAGAGGTGGTTGTAATATCAATACAAACTAGACATCTTGTTACAGTTTTAATGACAGAACAATCCTACCAGTGTTTGGAACACTCTGGTTATCCTAACAATATTCAACACTCTGGTTATCTTAACGATATCCTTCAACATGTAAGTCCAGTCTGACAGTATCACATAGGCTTCTGATTTTATAGAAACATACAGTAAATAACACTTATGGCCTAACAGTACATGACTCATACCCAGGACAATACAGGTTTCCATGAATCCCTTTATTCTAGCATTGAATGTCAGCGAGCTTGAATGAAAGCTGTTTCTATAAGAATTCCTGAACAATTGGCACAGTAGCAACAGTAGTAGGTAGGGACACACAACCAACACATCAGTTAAATGTCTCCTACTCGTGTCATCTTACCAATGTCAAATTAATGTCTACTTGCCATGACATCAGTACTACAGTACTGAAACAGCAACATGTGATCAAGGATATAGGGGTCAATGGAGACTGTAATGTATCACAAATGACTGAAGTTTTCTGGTCATCCAATTAACATGTCACCAAGGACAGAAGCCATATGGTCATCCAAAGCAGTAACTACCACCAAAGCAGTAATGTACATTCGATTCAGTAATATACATCTGAAGCTGTAACGTATCCGTAAACATTAACATACATCTGAAGCTTTAGGTTAGCAACAGGTTAACATTACAAAACTTCACAATGATATTTGCTTCGGCTAAAATGTTTCTTCAGTGTCACAGACTTTTTAAATCAAATCATTAGAATGAACAATATAATCCAAAGTGGAGACACTTAATACTGTACAAAAGAAATTGATGAGTAGCATGAGAGGAAGTTGAAATATCAGCTAAAAATGTCCAGCTCTCTCAATCTTATCCAGTTCTCAATCTTATCTGTACAGTAATGCATTAAGACTGGTACCACTTCTCCATTTTGCTAATAGGTAACAAACGGACTGGTGAGAGTTCATTTCTTCATTCCTAAAAAGTCTATAACGTTAAGTGTTAAGTAATTTTGTGTACCGTCATTACCTACGACCAATTCTACCAGTGAGTATAATACAGGACTGCCTCCCATTACAACAAATCAAGTTTTAATCTCTCTCCTGGCCATGTACACACTTTCCTGGATGAATTCTTCAGCCTTAATGTACCAAGATCATTATCGGAGGTGTTCTTAAGGTATTTAGGTGAAATAGTCAATATTTAGGGAGAAAATTAAACCCATTGTAACAGTAATACATAACACTTATCTAAATATGTATCAGTGAAAAGGTCATTCAACAAACCCATACACATGTCCTGAAGTGTGGACATAATGTGAACAAAATATGTCCACAGGTCCTGAGTGGACAATGGTCACTATATATATATACCTGTTAGTGTTATAGTGACATGTAAGCATGACTGACCATGCTTTGGCTATTTTTCAGGTGACTTGTGAGTGTGAATATAACTTTGTTCTCAAACCAACCTGAGGGCGCTGGTCATCTGTACACGTTTGTCCATGAATGACAAGCTATGATTGGCCCTTACAGACCAGTGGTCACCTAGAATGACCAAAGGTGATGATCAATTGACTGCTATTACCATATTTTAAACCTCATTACTTAAGGTCATTCATTGACCACAATTTCTGAATACTTAGTGAGGGTCATTTCCTTAGTGAGCTGCTAGTATTAAAATCTTCCAAATCACATCCGAGCTTTCTTAAAAACTGGTAAAAATATAACTGATAAAAATATAACAAGCCCAAGAGAATTTCCCTGCAGACACCTTTTTTAGTGATAGTGCTTATGGCGATACCAATCTGCCTAGCCTTGGGATGCCACGTGTTAATCTTCGGCTTATGACTATGTGCCATGTTAGAACTTGTCATAGTGTTATTATATATTATTATATGTCTGGGATTAGGATGGTGTTATTTTATTAGCATGTAATATCATTACTCCAGAGCTCATTATGTTACACCATGACTTTGTTTAAAACCTAACATTCCATTCTAGGTATTTTTGTGTGATAATAATCTTTCCGTTGGTATACATATAAGCAACATGCTCATGGTGTTTTTATGTCCAATTGTATTATCTAAGTAGGACAAACGTAGGAGACTTCAAAATAAAACAGCTTTAAGACTAAACACAAGAATTAACTCAACAAAACTATATTACAAAGCAAACTTTCCAGCTGTGGGATGTGATTGGATGTAATTAGACTTCTAACAAAGACTTCCAAAACACTGTCAAAAACCATGACAACCTCCCAAATTTTTAAAAGTGTTCAGGAAGTTCTAGTTTTATTAGACATTATGATCTCATGAACCTTACTTCAGATACAACATAAAGAATGTATGATGTTGTAAATGAGAATGGAAGTATTGTCATACTTTGTAGCAAGTAACTTGATATTGATGTGTCACAACTACATTTGATCATTGATGGTTGCCAGTGTTTGATAACCAGAATCAATATAGCCTTAAACACACAACACAGGTTGGAAAGTAAATATAATCACTACAGCTGTCTCAAACTGGTGTATATGTATAATACTCTCACAGAAACCATGGAATGTTACATTCTCAACTTATACACAGACTGTTTAAACAAAATATATACTTGAGGTCCACACCTTGTATGATCCATCTGGCTATATATAATCTGATGAAGTATGATATCCAGGTGTTATAACATAATTCAATAACCACAGAATTATTATTTTGAAAAGCAACCAATTTCTTTTATTTCACTGTTAGTTAACTTACTGTTTCCTATTATTTCACTAAATTACCATTAAAAATATTCAGTATCTATTATTTCATTTACAGCAGAAGACTTTGTAATACTGGACCATCAAACCTGATATATTGATATATGTATGTACAAGGGCCTTGTAATATAACAGTATATACATGTTAGAATATATTCCATATTGGAAAGGAAGGGAGATAACTCTAACTTCCCTAAATCACTCCTGATAGCCAGAATACCATTTATTTGATACACAAACTGTTGTATGATGGGATATGATTCCAACAGCAGGTGGTGAAGATAGGGGTCTGTGATGTAGGATTACATACTGTTTACTCTCCAGCAGCCTTATTTAATGTCTAACCTCACAGTCACTCTGACCTATATCACTTACCACTATAAACAAAAATTTTCATCTACATACGTGCATGTTTAGAATTAAGATTACTCTTTAAGAGTCATGTTTGCAAAATTGTTTATGTTTGGGAGTCTTCAGTTTACAGAAATAAAACTACAACTTTACATTGATTACTGCAGAGACAAACAAAATAGTTCTTATCTTTTATTATTTACCACTGAACTTCCTGTGAATTTTTCAAAAGTTTTAACAAAGCTGACAGCTCAGGGATATGAGCATTTCAGCTGTATAGTCAGATAGTTAACTTTGATGGCTGTGCGGCTGTGTGTCATGTCTAAAAACTGACGTTAAACAATGTCAATACATTGATGAGTGAATGCACCTTTGTACCCCCAGTGAATATCTTCATGTTCTTCAAAGATCACCATAATTAATAAAGATAAACTCTAAATTCATGACCAAAGTCTTCAGAAATTTGGAATCATTATAACTTAATCCCAAAATCCAAAATTCCATTCTCTTTAAAACATGAACATGAAATTAAAATACTAGTAATCAAATTAAGAACTTTGAAGTTCATTACTTGTGACAAGTTGAAAATGAGGCTAAATACTGAATACTCATCTATAAAAATGTCTCCTAAAACAACTTACATGCTCTTCGATGATTCTGAGTTCCTGAAGGGTAGTGCTGCCTGCTTCACCTTCTACACTACTGGATACAGAAACCTCTGTCTTTCTCCTCTCCAGCCTCTCAATCTCCTTCTCAAGGTCTGCTAAAGTTATCTCCCCTTTTGCAAACTTGTCCTCCAGTGGTTCCTCAATTCTTAGTTCATCAAGACGTTTACTACCCTCATCGTTGATAACAAGACTTCGTGACATCATATCAGCATCGTTGGACACCCCAAACACTGCATCAATGCTGTGGCGTGCTTGCTGCTCTTCTTCATCATGATCATCACATTCAATGGTATATGTTCCTGCCTCACTGACATTGTCCACTGCCTCATCCACTTCCTTCACTTCTTCCTCACTCCCTTCCTTAGTGGGAGTCTGCAGCAAGTCCAGCAGTGGGGCAGAGTCGTCAGTGTCTAGGGTAAGTTTGGGTTTCCCACTGTCATATTCTTTAGCCTCACGATACATTGCATGTTCAGTAAATCTGTCTGCCACAGTTTTGGATTTTGTACCTTGTTTGCAGGAACTGCTTTCGAACATTTTGTCTATTAGATAGGAGGCACTTTCTGTCATTTTGAGCACTGCAGCAGCAGCTAACTGGTCCTCCTCTTTACACTGGCTAGATTTCAATGGCTTTTTGGGATCTGTTGTGACCTTTCTTTTGACATATGTCTTGGTACCTACAAAGGTCAAGTATGTACATTTGAAAATCTAACCAATACTTGAGACTGATTAAGATGAAATTCTACATTTAAAAAAAATTACTCATTGCTAATCAATCAAAGCAAAATATTCTCATTCTAAAGTAATATTATGAATAATCTTTCACAGACATGGCCAGATTCTGAAAGTAAGGCTAGCAGCATTCTAATACCATTTGTCTATTCAAGGACATATGTATTTAATGGATAGTAATAACTGCTGACCATGAAAGAAGACTACAGACCCTACAGCCGATTCTAATAGCAGGGTTGTGTTTGTCTGTTCATTCCAAATTACAAACTGAAGGCATGGATCTTAAGTATTTTTGTAGCAGATGCAATGTCATGCTTATATTCAGTTTTCCAGGTCAAGCAATCAATTTATACATGGCCATCTAAAAGAGATTTTCATTTCCTCCATTTAAAATTGAAAAAACCTGTGTTCAGGTAAGTTATTATTTACAGCAGACAGATAAAACACAGATTTCAGTAGTGAGATATTGATGTAAACAAATGTTCTTGGAGCATCAAAACTGTAAATAATGTAATGAAGAATACTTCTGTTACCTCTGGCAGAAACTGCTGTCACTTTTTCTGTGTCCTGTGACCTTGAGGTTCTTGTGGTGACCTTGTCCATATCAACTGACCTCGGTGAACTTGTGGTGACCTTTTCTGTGTTTGCTGACCTTGATGTTCTTGTTGCTGTCTTGTCTTTGTCTGTTAACCTTGATGACCTTGTTGCTACTTTATCTATATCTGTTGACCTTGATGACCTTGTTACCTTGTCTGAAGTGGTTGATCTTGTTGATCTTGTGCTAACTGTGACCTTGTCACTCTCTTGAGATGACCTACTTGACCTCTTCATCTCCGTTGATCTTCTTCCTTTAGTAGATGATGAGGAGTCAGACTCCCATATTTCATCAATTTTCTTTTGTCTACGAGGAGTTACCATCTCTTCGCTTTCTACTTTCTTCCGTCGTCTGGGTGGTGTCATCTCTGCTTCTGCCCTCTTTTGCCTTTTAGATGCAATTTCTTCAACCTCTACTTTCTGAAAAACACAACAGCAAATATTCAAGACTGGATTTCTACATAAATACAAGCTATAGGTTAATAAAACATTTTACATGTTATCTTTGAAATGTAAAACATGTTTTACCGTTATCATAGATTGGCTTCATTAAGTTAAACGTGTTGAAAATTAGATTTGGAGTTCTCAACTGAGTATAGGATATCCTCTCTTGATGTACCTTCCTATCTATGCGAAATGTGAAGATCATACATGAGACAGGAAATACTACTCACGTCTACATATTGGTTTTTATTTTAAACATCTTGACCTTAATTTATGTTCCTTCAAACTGGTTGAAAATTTTTTAATGAAAGCTGTATTTTGTATTAAGTAAAGATCAAAGGTCAAATAAGGATGATTTTGATTTGCTACATAATGTCATAATGGACTCCAAATAAGACTTTCTTGCATTTACAAAGATGAAATCTTGCAACCTGTATTTCTTCTTAATTCAGTACTTAAGGTAAAACGCACTTATAAGTAAAATGTTTTGTTGAACACAAAACATTGTCTCATCACAGTGTGATTCCATACCAAGTCTCATAACTATACATCAACTATTTGCCAAAGTATGTTTCAAGAAATTTATACAACATAGATTAGAAAGAGCAATGTCTACCTCTGGCAGATCTTCTTTCTCTGGCGTTCCTTCCTTAGAGACAGATCTACTTCCCTTGTCAGGTGGCGTATCCTTGGCAACAGAACCAGCTGTCAATTTTTCAGGTGAACTTGTATCTTTAGCTTTAGCAAGATTCTCTTTCCTCTCTCTGAAACTTTTTCTCATCTTTGATGGCACAAAATCACTGAGTTTTCCCGAGGAATTCATTTTTCTAATGTCTTCATCAAAGTCAACTGTGAAAGACATACAAGGACCCCCTGATGTATCTGACTGTCGCCTGGGAATTGGGTCATCTCCCTTATCACGACTCTCCTCAGGTATCTGGCCCCCTCCTCCAGGATCATGGGACTTTGAGGTAGGGGCATCCCTGGCCTCCATGGGACTTGTATCATGACTTCCACCCTCCATTTGCCTAGAGTTGTTCAGGGTGTTAGTGACATACTGTTGATGAACTTTATTGTCTACACTAAGGTTGGAAGGCCTCACTTGAGCACCTTCAGGGATGTCATCTGAAAAGTATTGATATATATATATATAACTTCATAGGAGTATGTCAATTTCATAATTCCGAGGATTAGATATTGGTTTGGCAAGTACTTTAGGCAATACTGTCAGGATAATACTACACTTGGGGAAATTTTTGAATAAATTAATTAAAGTTACATTATTTATTGTTCCTTTTTTCTACAAAAAAAAACGTTATCAACATCTAATGCTCTACTTTAAAATTCTGTTTTTTGAATTTTCAACTCATATTCAATATTGGCTTCTAACATGTGTAAACAGAGTAAATATTCACATGAAATGCTATACATTGGTCAAAGGGACACAACTCATTGTATCTTATCAACCCAATAACATTGACCCCCATCCTTTCAATGGTACAAAAAACTGAAAACTTAATGTTCCTTGAAGATGTGCTGTAGCATACTGATAAATGCATTTATAGGAAATATTCACTAAAATGAAAGCTTTAAAATTCCTGTTCACTGACATACCTGGTACTTATCATACCAGATATGCATGATGTCACAGAATCATGCATGGAAAAATATACCAGTGTGTATATCACACTAGAGAACGTGTACTACCACACATTAAAAAGAGAGTTATATCTGAGAGGTCATGTAGATATATATGTGATGGTATCTATCTATCTATCTATAATTTCATGTTTAGAATACCAGCTGATTACGAAAAATTTCCTTGTCTTACACCTGTAAACTTTCACCACTGAACATTTTTGTTTAGCCCCTGTTCTCTAATGGAATTTTTGGCGACTTAACTTAAAGTCACTTCTTGTTGGATTGTATTACTGTGATGTTCTTGTAGCAATCTGATGTGGATTTTGTAATTAACAGATATGACAAATACATTTCATTCAAAAGAAATAAATGATAAACGAACAGGATAACTTTGTATAAAAACTAACCAACATTTCTCTGAATCCTCACAAAGGGTCATACAGAAAGTAAGTTATGGAGAGGTCAGGAATGAATGATAAAATCTAAACTCTTTAAATGGATTTTATAAAGCCCAGAACACTGATGATTGATATACAGGCAAACTCAAATTTCAATCCTAAATAGCAGTAAGCATAAGATTAAAACATGTGATGAGAGACGGAGAAAATGGACCAGTAGTATGGCCAAAGGTCACTCATCACTAGATAAACCAGCAGTACAAGTAACCCAGGACTGAACTCCATATTCTTAATTGAAACTTTTAAAAGTCTAGACCTGAAGACTATACATTAAGTTAAGTATTTATATGTAGATGGTACATAGATGTTTACACTAATGATCACAGACAAACACCAGATGTTTGTTTGTAACATAAATCCATAATCAATCCTGGTTCCTAGATCTGGCTTATCCTCACTGAACACGGTCCAAACATTCTGACAAAGTGACCAAATAATGAAAGGGAGTCAACTGTAACAGCATCAGTTATGATCAACTTCAGAACAAAGAATTTCTGATCAAATGTGTCTAGTGTAAATTGTAAAGTGTTTAACCAAAAGATATCCTAGCTAAGATATTGGTAAACTGAAGCAGCGGTTATATTATTACCTCCGTTATTCTGAAACCTATGAAACTAATTTTGATATATTGAACTATTTTACAAGACAATAAGGCTGGATTGGAAATAAACCTGTATCAGGTACAATGGAGGCCGGAGGATTTCCACCAATGCTGCTTCGGTTTTTATCAATGTTTACAATAAATATGTTAAGTAAAATCGGATTGTTATGATCTGTTCTCCTGGCATCTTGATCATGCAAAAACTGGCTACTTGGAATTGTTCCCAATATTGTTTACTACGAAGAAACAAGAATGTTTGTCAGATTTTTGTGAACCTATCATTAAAATTGCAATCAGCATCCAGCAACATCAAAAGCAGAGACACACAGACCATAAACATATGGCAATCTTAAAATGCATTGTCTGCAAAAATAGTATCATTATAGGATTGTTGAAGAGGGAATGTACTTCTGTTATCAGTTTTATGGAAGATCTAATGGAGGATTTCCATATGGCTGTTTACATTGACTGCAGAACTTACCAGGGTCAGCATCTTCCCCCCACCAATCAGGCTGGCCATACAAGGGTGTGGCTTTCTTTACAGTTTCTAACTCTGAAACAGACAAGAAAGTACAGAATAAGGATCTAAGTAGAACCAACAGATAATCAAAGCCCCACTTATAAATTGAACTTTGGTCATCTCTGAAAAAAAACAGGTTAGATCTGAAAATGATTTGAGGCAGGATTTAAATATATAGTTATTTCACTCATTTTTACTAAATCATTTCATTTTTCTTCAACAATCGCATAACTCTTAAATATTCACTTGGGATTGCTTAAATTAGGAGACATGCAGCAAGGAATTCTTGTCTTAAAACTGCCATTTATAATGGAGTAATACTTGGATGGCTAACAGCTGCAGCCCATAACACAAGCAAAATGAACTAAAGAATGTCAACCACTTGACTAGAATATACACAGAGAGTCTGCTGCAAAACATACAGGGTAAATCTGTGTGCACACTGAAGGTAAATAACATTATCATCAACATTTTGTATTATTTTTAAACTAAGTAAATACACTATAGTGTAAGTGAAATACCTATGTTCCTGAAAATGCAGGCATTCTAAATCTATCAGTTTCTTTTTTATATAATAGACAACTCTGCTGTATAAATGGACATTCTGTCTTATCCTTGGTTACAGTAACATCTCACATGGTAACTTAGTCAATAACAACAGTCTTGGTATAAGAGATGCAGAATGACTGATTCTGTCTGTCCCTTCCTGCATCTCCTAACAGTTCTAGTAATCAACCATTTAACTAACCTACCTGAAGTCATGCTATTTAATCTTACCTGTCTCTAAACCCATCTAGTAAAGGTCTAACCATATCTAATCCCCTACCTGAACAACTATAGGTCAGACTGTTTGATCCTGTCTGACCCCAATCCACATAAGGTGCATTAAGAGAGTCTAACCTAATCTAATCCCCGACCCAACAACTAGAGGTCAGACTGATCCTGTCTGACCCCAATCCACATAAGGTACAGTTCAGACAGTCTAACCATATCTAATCCCCCTACCCTAACAACCAGAGGTCAGACTATCTGATCCTGTCTGACCCCAATCCACATAAGGTACAGTTCAGACAGCCTAACAATATCTAATCCCCTACCCTAACAACCAGAGGTCAGACTATCTGATCCTGTCTGACCCCAATCCACATAAGGTACAGTTCAGACAGTCTAACCATATCTAATCCCCTACCCTAACAACCAGAGGTCAGACTATCTAGTCCTGTCTGACCCCAATCCACATAAGGTACAGTTCAGACAGCCTAACCTAATCTAATCCCCTACCCTAACAACCAGAGGTCAGACTATCTGATCCTGTCTGACACTCTTCCCCATCAAGTACAGTTCAGACAGTCTAACCATATCTAATCCCCTACCCTAACAACCAGAGGTCAGACTGATCCTGTCTGACACTCTTCCCCATCAAGTACAGGTCAGACAGTCTAACCATATCTAATCCCCTACCCTAACAACCAGAGGTCAGACTGATCCTGTCTGACCCCAATCCACATAAGGTACAGTTCAGACAGTCTAACCATATCTAATCCCCTACCCTAACAACCAGAGGTCAGACTATCTGATCCTGTCTGACCCCAATCCACATAAGGTACAGTTCAGACAGTCTAACCATATCTAATCCCCTACCCTAACAACCAGAGGTCAGACTATCTGATCCTGTCTGACCCCAATCCACATAAGGTACAGTTCAGACAGTCTAACCATATCTAATCCCCTACCCTAACAACCAGAGGTCAGACTATCTGATCCTGTCTGACCCCAATCCACATAAGGTACAGTTCAGACAGTCTAACCATGTCTAATCCCCTACCCTAACAACCAGAGGTCAGACTATCTGATCCTGTCTGACCCCAATCCACATAAGGTACAGTTCAGACAGTCTAACCATATCTAATCCCCTACCCTAACAACCAGAGGTCAGACTATCTGATCCTGTCTGACCCCAATCCACATAAGGTACAGTTCAGACAGTCTAACCATATCTAATCCCCTACCCTAACAACCAGAGGTCAGACTATCTGATCCTGTCTGACCCCAATCCACATAAGGTACAGTTCAGACAGTCTAACCATATCTAATCCCCTACTCTAACAACCAGAGGTCAGACTGATCCTGTCTGACACTCTTCCCCATCAAGTACAGTTCAGACAGTCTAACCATATCTAATCCCCTACCCTAACAACCAGAGGTCAGACTATCTGATCCTGTCTGACACTCTTCCCCATCAAGTACAGGTCAGATCCATTATTCTGACCTACTACAGGTCAGATTTCCTGCTTTCATTATCCCTGTCACAGGTCAAACTGTTTGACCCCTTATCCTGATCTACTACAGCTTCCAGTACCTCTGTTACAGGTCAGGCTGCCTGACCCCTTTACCTAGTCTACAACACGTCAGATTTCATAGGTCAGGCTGTTAGAACCCCTTCTACCAGCCTACGCATAGCCATTTACAAGAGATCACGCTGTCATTTGTTTAAGAATAAAGTTATCTTAATCAAGGCTTCAGTCTTCCCAGACAGAAGTTATTGTGACACTCAAGGCTATGCCAGCTCCAATAAATGATGTTATAATTCCGAAATAATTAAGAATAATGACAGATAATTCCACCATGACTGGATGAAGTTGATATTCAGCCTATGGACGAAGGGCTAAATATAATTGAACAATTACCTTAGTGGATCCAAGTGAGTTAGAGAATTCCTGACTAACATCTGGTTCAGTAGATCCTCACATGTTTTACATCCCTCACACAACTCATTATCACCATACCTAGCTATAGCCATACCAAGGGACAGTGAATGTATACTACAGGTCCCCAACAGTGATGGTGAAACCGAGATCTCCCTAACAATGTATAATTGAAATTCTTTTTACAAAGAATATTGTACTGATGTAAATTAGATGTAAATTCATTGCTCCTGAACTCACTAACAACAGTTTGAGTGATCTGTGTTTGTGATCCCTTTAGAGAAAGAAAGCAGCCTGTCATCTTTGGAAATGTCTTGTCAGTGTACAATGTCTACTGGGCTATAAGCCTTCATTTAGTCAGCTTTCAATCTACTCACTAACCTCACAGTCCCACAACAATTATATTCACACCTGAATGCAACAATGTTGATATAAAGAATCACTGCCTGCAATATCAGACTTATTAAATGCAGGTGCCAGGGGGTTCTATACAGATGGAAATATCATGTAATGTAATGTGATATGTTTTATAATATACTTTAAACAGAGAAAGGTGTGTTTTTTTCTGAAAATCATGCTTAATTGTTGGAAATGTGTGTTGTCAAATGTTGTCATACTGAATCTTGCTCCTGTGCTTGACCTTCTCAGGTATAACAGGTGAAGCTATTAGACCTACTTTTGTTAACAAAGATGACACTGTTTGACCTACTTTTGTTAACACAGATGACACTGTTTGACCTAATTTTGTTAACACAGATGACACTGTTTGACCTACTTTTTTAACACAGTTGATGCTGTTTGACTTACTTTTGTAAACACAGTTTACTTTTTTAATTAAGAAAGTGCTATCTGACCTCTTTTTTGCAGTATAAACTATGTATATTAACGAACAATCCAGCAGTTTTGTTTAATTGTCCGATTAGTACAGTGTTGTTTATAGTTGTGCCAAAACAATCACAATTCCTAAAGCTATCCAAATAATACAGTACATCGTAGTTCCAGCCGTAGTTCCAGCCGTTCTGAAGATGTTAAACTAATAAACATGCATGTTAGCGTTAACCATATGTATAGTTTTATATCCTGAAGGTGTCACTCCAGTGCAGTCTACTTACTTGACCTGATCAATGCGTATATCCTAATCATTGTGTAAGTCTATGTACATCCAAATCTAATGTGAACAGGTTCTATACAAGCACCTTGCCCTTCATACAGACATAAGCCTGGGCTTTAATTGTGTAATTACAGGATAATATTACACACTGAAAGTGTCCTTGCTGGTATCTTCTTTTATCACACACAAAATCTTAGCTTTGTGAAAGCAGCACCATACTGGTGTAATTTACACCCATTAGCACTAACAACCATGGCTATCAATCCTATACCGGTACATAGAACAGTATTAGGATGAAGTACACAGACTGTTATATCATAACAACAGAACCTTGATATATGAACAATCATACATCACAAATAACCTGCCAGAGATATATACTACTTTCATTTTCCTACAATTGAAAATACTTATAAATAAAAGAAAGCGAACAATTACAGCAAATATAAATTTAGACCACCAGGACAAAACTCCACATTCAAACAGTGTCAGTTGTATATAGAACTGACCACAGGTGAAAGTTTGTGTTTTTGTTATTTGTTCATGAATAAATTTGATTGTTATCTCTATTCAAGTTTAATTTCTTTAATTGTCATTCCCTTCAATCAGTACACTGACCATTACAATCAGCACTGACCATGAGCAATCAGTGCTACCAATACAGTCAAAACTGACCATTACAATCAGTGTGGTATATATAACAAGAGGCCCAATGGTCCCGAATCAATACTTTTCCAGTTTGCCAAGTCAATTTCTGAACTTGAAAAATTGAAAACCTATTGCTAAAGCATGATGTGACACAAATACCATGACCAAGGTTCTTTTGCTTCTTAACACATTTGACAACTATGAACTTGAAAAAGGGTCAAGGTCAACCATCTGAACATCCTGATCTTTTTGGTTATTGAAAAGCTTTTTATGATTTTAATATATTTGAGGTGTTTTGGTTATTAAGAAGGAGGTCTTTGAATTGAAGAGTTGATGTCATACTGAAAGTTGGATGCCGGATGCCACACCACAGGCTAACAAGGAAGCAGAACTAGTATTTCTTTGCAGTTAACATCAGTTAGTACAACAGGTTTTTAAATGTTGAGAGGCCAACATTACTTTCAGTACAAGACTAATTGACTATCAACGCTAAGATTGATATACTGGGTGATTGTGAAATATCCAGTAAAAATACTTCATTGATACTTGTGATTTCTAATTATATATCA